ACTGGCCCCCGGAGGTGACCCATCTCCCCGTGGACCCCCCCGGGAACAGCAGGCAGCATGCTCCTGCACGTCTGGGGCTCCTCTTATCACCCCACAAATGGCACGGACACACCACCTCTCTGCTGGGAACCCTATGTTAATGGATTTACACAGTGCAGTCGGGGAGACAGGCTCTTGGCTTTGGGGTCTCTGCAGAATCTCTGAGGGGTGAGGGCTGGGAGATGCTGGGCTGGTAGCAGCTCCTTTCCCCTTGTGATGCCAGACTGCGAGGTAAGGTGCCTTTGCTTGGCAATAACTCTCCTTGGACTGGTCCCCGTCCTGCTGTCCAAAGTGACCAGCGTGGGACCTCTGACCTGGGCCTTTGGGGCAAGCTCCCCTGCCCCAGGGCATCTTCAGGTTCTCTTGAGCAGCTGATAGCACTCCAGTGTCTAAAGCCTGAGACTTTGGCCACAGCTTTTTGGGGCAGGAAAGAGCCATCATAACAAGTTTGAATTATTTTCAGCCAAGCAGAGCTGATGTTGGAGCAAGCTCCTTCCCTGGCCAAAGGGCATAGCTGACAGCCGGGCTGTTTACCAGCTCTCGTGTTACAGGTCTGACTGCGGAGGGGGCAGGTCTGGCGGCAGCCACTCGTTCAAATCAGAATGCACAAAGCCTCCCTGTTAGATGTCACTGCCCAATTTCATGCCTTCTGCTTCTCCCTCCTGGTGCTAATGAGTTTCCTTCATCATCTCCAGTGCTTCCTGATGGGCCTGAGAGTGCTGGCTGGTGTGGTCGTGTCAAAGTCCACCAGCAGCTGGTGCCTGCCTCTGGGATGAGGATAGTGCCTTTCCTTGCTGGGGAGGAGCACGCTGGGCGTTCAGGTGCCCTTCTGCAGGGCACGGTGCCTTGCAGCCCCCTGTCCCACGCTCTCAGCAGAGGATGGTGCTCAGCCGATGTGTGTGGTAGGCTAGGGGAAGAGCCTAGTCTTCTCCCAGGGGTTTCATTGCTGCTTTGAGCTGGGCTAGGATGGTTCCAGTGTTGATGCCCATCCTTGGAGGTCCTCTGGAAAGCTCTCCCCTGTTGTGTAGAGCACCAGATGGAGTGCGCTGTCAGCAGCGCTGGGGCACGTGCTGCCTTGCCTCTCTACCTGGCATCCTGCATGCAGGCAGGAACAGCCGTGCTCCGGCCAGGAGCTGCCATGGCCAGTCCCCCCAGGGAGGGTGCTTGGGAAAGGGGGGTGAGAAAGCCAGCAGCTGCATTTTACCAGAGTATTCTTCTGACTGCCAACAGTTTGCAGCATGACTCTTCAGCATTAGCTTTGTTTCCATCCTCTGAATAACTTAGTGTAGTTGGTAGACTTTGTCATCTTGCCGCTCACCCTTTCTCCCCAAGGTGCTGAGCAACGGAGGCTCCCTGCGGGAGGAGTGGGGCTCTGGGGTGGTGTTGCTGGGCGATGGGTGCCTCTCTGGAGAGCTCACGGGTGACAGTGGGCACCGCTGCACGGTGGACGGATCATGAGGGGTGCAAGGTGAGGTGCTGGGGTGGTGGTGGTGGGAAAGCCATCTGCGCGGCTGGAAAGGTATCGTGACCTGATTGCTCACTGTTCCTCTAATGCGGTGGTAGCGACATCTCCCCAGCATGAGCGTCAAGGGGAGCATCTATGACAACGCTCCCTCTTTGCCATCGTTACAATGCAGCAGTCATTTTTTTGGCTTAGACAGTGCCAGAGTCTCTGCTGCCGGGGCTGCAGGCAGGATGTTTGTGCAGGGGCTGCGTGCAGGATGCTCACGCCTCAGCCTCATGCTGCGCTCTGCCTGGTTGCTCGCTCCTCTCCCTTCAGTCGGGTGATCCCATGAAAGCACCGGGGTCTGCTTGCTTGGAGGCGTTGGCAGGATCAGGCCTCAGCCAGCAGTGCCGGAGGATGAGCCCGCAGCTTCTTCCCGGTGCGCAGGCTGCATACGCCAGCCCCCGCTCTGCTGCCCTGCCACATTCCCCATCACCTGTGGCGCTGTGTAAGGCTCACCCCCTGTGCACATCGCTGCGTGGGCTCGCTTCGGTGTGCCCGGGGTGTGTGCGGCGCTGTGCTACCCCTGCACGGCTCCCCACCGTGAGGCTGTGAGGAAGCAGCCCTGAAGCCAGCGGAGGTGAGGTTGGGGAGCTTGCGGGTTGGAAGCCCAGCGCTGGAGGCCAGGTCCGTCCTCCACATCTGGTGTGGTCTGTGCTTTACAAACCTCCCGCTGGATTAGAGGTTGGGGCTCCTGGGGCACGTGTACAGCTTGTGCCTCACAATATATGATGCATAGGGATTTCCTCCCCTCCCCCCCCAATTTTCTAAGTGTTAGCAGGAAGACTAATCAGAATAGAAGCAGCAATTAGGGAATGCGTGGGAGTGTAAATGGAGAGGCTGGGAGGAGGTGGGGAGGGGTCCCAGGCTGGGGAGCGGGCGGAGGGGACTGCTGCCGGCCTTTGCACCTTGTTGGGGTGCCCAGTGAGCAGGGAAGGAGAAGAGTGGGCTGTCACCGACACTGGGAATCTCAAGTGAGATTTCTTTTGGAAAGAAAATAAGCAGCAAGCTCTGATGAGAGCAAATAAGAGACTGAGCCAGTAACGGAGGAGATAGTTGGGAGCTCCAGCTCTGCTGCAGGATGACTCAGTCTTCAGCGACAGAGCAGGGGTAGGAGCCAGGTTCTTACCCCCAGGAGCGGCTGAGCTTTTAGCACATCTGCAGCTACTGCTCGACAGTGAAGTGAATTGCTGCTTTGATGGAAGGGGATGACAGGGCTTAATGCCTGAGTGATGGTTCAGGCAAGAGTTGGAGATAACTGAGAACAGAGCAGGTTTCAGGTAGTTGCTGATACCTCCTGGGCTCCCCCTGGCCACTCTGTCGGGACAGATTTCTCTCTCCCCGTGTCCCGCTTATCTAGGGTTAACCTTTTCTGTGTCAGGATGCATCTTTTAGTGGGACAGACGCCTGTCCCTCTGCAGCCTGCGTCGGCTGGCTCTGTCTCCTATGATGTGCTTCATAACCTCTTTCTCTCTCACAAAGAGGTTATCCTCATTTCCCCCCACCACAGAGTCTCAAACAGAGATGTTTCCGTTTCAAATGATGGCCCAGGCAATGCCATCTCTGTAAGGTTCCTGCCATTTTGTCCTGCTCTTTGGTCTTGTGCTGGGAAGCAGCGGGGAGGCACAAGCGCTTGCTTGGGAAGCTTGTTCCTGTGCCCCAGGCTGCCAGCTCTGCATGCTTAAAAATAGGGTTTAAATCCTCTCCTGGGTAGAAGAACCACACAAGAATTTCATAGAGCTTTATAGGGGGGAGGAGGAGGATATTTGAGACCTGGAGCCAGGATGGGGACACAAAAAATCCTCTGCACCTGCTGGAACCATCCTCGGATTTGATGGTGGGGTGTGACGGGTGCCTGATAGCCTGACAAATGCCGTTGCTTTTCCTCGCTCCTGGCGTGTGCAGTCAGTGATTTGAAATGAAACGCGCTGTGCCAGGCAGAAAACCTCGCTGCTGGAAGATGGAGTTCAGGCAAAGGGTAGTTACTCACCCCCTCCGTGTGTGAGGGCATCGCTGGCTACCAGTTGCACGCACTCAGGATAAGTAACTAATTAATGTTGGTCTTAAGAGCTATGTGATATTCTTCTGCAAATAAAGCCTTGCAGCCTGTGTGAGGCTGTTCATGTGGATCTGGGCTCTGCAAAGCAGTAACTAGATCTCCCAGAGCTCTCAGAGCAGGTAAGTGATGATCCCCTTCTCCGTACGGAGAGATGGAGTGAGCAGTCCCGGACTGTCGCAGGAGGTGGTGGCAGAGGCAGGGTTAGATCCCAGCTCTCCTGGCTCAGCTGTAGCTGGGCATTTGGGAATACTTCAGAGGGACTCTATGGAGGAATTAATCCCTGAGCTTAGTGACTGTGGGTTTCCAGGGCTCTGTACAACCTGACAGATGGAAATATCTGCAGCGGCTCTTGCATTCCTTGGGCTCCCGGACACAAGCTTTGGGCCACGCGTGCTTTCTGGGAGCTGCTGCATCCACAGCATCTTTCTGAGAGCAAGTGTAGGTGGAAGGCAGGAGTGCCAGTGTGCCGTGTCCCTTACAGCCCTTGCGCTGAGAGGGGTCCTGCACCCACCCCAGTGACAGCACATCAGCAGGGAAGCAGGCGGGGTCAGCATGAGTGAAGGTGAGGGTGGGAGATGACTAAGGAAAAGAAATTTCCAGAGTGCTGCCTGAGAGGAGGAGGGGAAGAATGCTTTGCAGGTCCTCACCCGCTGCCAGATCGCTCTCGCTTTGCTGAGAGTCCAAGGAAGGAGGTCAGCTAATGCAGGCTGACACGGGGAGCGGGGCTGGCTTTGCAGGGCAGAGGCTGGTGGGCAGCCCGGGCACTGGGCTCCGTCCTGGTGAGTCTTCCTGGTGAGCCTGCTGGGACTGGCTGCAGCTGTGCTCCTTGGCTGCTTTAGGACACTTCCCTCTCTTCCAGGCTCTCCATCAGCTGTATTACGACCCAAACATCGAGAACAAGAACTTGGCTCAGAAATGGTTGATGCAGGCACAGGTCTCCCCCCAGGCGTGGCACTTCAGCTGGCTGCTTCTCAACATGGACAAGGTCCCCGAGATCCAGTACTTCGGTGCCAGCGCTCTCCACATCAAAATTTCCCGTTACTGGAATGACATCCCAGCCGACCAGTACGAGAGTCTCAAATCGCAGCTCTTCACCCACATCACCCGCTTTGCCAGCGGCTCCAAGATCGTGCTGACCCGGCTGTGCGTGGCGCTGGCCTCCCTGGCCCTCAGCATGATGCCGGAGGCTTGGCCCTGCGCCGTGGCAGACATGGTGCGCATGTTCCAGGCGGAGGACTCCAATGTGGACGGGCGGGCACGGTGCCTGGCGCTGCTGGAGCTGCTGACGGTGCTGCCCGAGGAGTTTCAGACCAGCCGCCTGCCACAGTACCGCAAGGGCCAGGTACGCAGCGTCCTGGCACAGGAGTGCGGGTCTGTCTTCCCTTTGCTGGAGCAGCTGCTGCAGCAGCAGGACTCCCCGGGTTTCATCAAGCAGAAGGTGTTGAAGTGCTTCTCCAGCTGGGTGCAGCTGGAGATCCCGCTGATGGACTGCGAGAACCTGATCCAGGCAGCTTTCACCTCTCTGCAGGACCCGGAGCTCTTCGACACAGCAGTGGAGGCTGTTGTCAATGCCATTTCCCAGCCCGATGCCCAGAGGTAAGGGCGGCCTCTCCCATGCACTGCAGGTTGGTGTTCCTGGGCACCAGTGGGGGAACGGGGTGGGGAGGAAAAACCTCAGGCTTTTTACTAGCTAGCATCGGTCCTGGAGGTGATGATGGCAGGGTTTGGAAGTGGGAGATGTTAAAAGCAGCCAGAGGCTCCCGGTTTCACATGGTTGATCCTGGAAGTCATTGCACCATGGTTGACTTGTGGGCACCATGTAGTCTCGAGCAGCCGCAGCCCATCTCCACCGTCCTGCTCTATCCTTTCTGGCTCCTTGTTCCAGACACCGCAGTGCCCAACCAGGGAGCAGTTACCCAGCTCTGGCCAGAGGGAGTTCAGAGACCCAAGAAGCTGATTTGATGCAGAGATAATAAAACCAGACCTGTCCGTCTTCTCCCTCCTCCTGGCTCCGACAGCTCGTCCTTTGTTTGTGGCTGTGGCTGCCCCTGGAGCAGCTGAGCTGGAGCCGGGGCTGGGGCAGGTCCTGCCAGGGTGTGCTGCGAGGCTCCGAGCTCGTCTGTTGTCCAAGCTGCTGTCAGCTCTCGGTCCAGTGCTCACGGAAAGGAAAGTACATCTCCTCCGGTTCCTGTGGCCACATCCCCTCCTGGCTGCTTAGCAACCTTCCCCCGAAGAGGAGGGTTTCCTTGAAGGCTGGGCTGAGCTGTTGCTGCTCTGCATCGCTGTGCATCGCGCAGGCTCCGACCCTCTGCAGCGGTGCAGATGCTGCTGCCGCTGCGTAGTGAGCCCTGGTCCTCCCCTTGGCTTCAGAGTAGGGGCAGCCAGTGTGGCCACCAGCTCAGAGGGACCTCGGCTCCTCGATGACAAAGGGGTTGCATCTGGGGACTGCAAGTCCCCGTGTGCAAAGGGACCCATCAGGATCTTAATGAGATGCTGGGTGTGGGGAGGGGTTCCCTCATTTGCTGGCATTCAGAAGATGACCACAAGTAGCTTTTCCTTGTACCAGGCAAAGGCTGTGGGCCGATCCAAGCCCTTGTAGCAGGATTGGTACAGAAAGTGAGAAGGTGAGAGAAGGTGACTTGCAGTTCTGAAGTGTTGAACTCTCTGCCTTCCTCCTTTCAGTTTCCCTTGAGTCTCAGAAGTCCCTTGGCTGTGATTCCCCACCTGTGTGCAGGAGCCTGGCCATGCAGTGCTGTTCTTCAGTTGCATTAAAAAACCTGAGCTTTCTGTTGAGCTTTCAAAGATAATTTTGGTGAGAATCATGGCTGACAGTGGAGTTTCCGCTCTGCTCCTGTGCTGACCCTGCCGTGCAGTTTCCGGCCCCGTTCAGTCCTGCCACGCTTGCCGCTTCCTTACAGCATCACCGGTGCTTGCTCTCCATCCTTTTCCCTGGAGACATCCTCTGCCATGGCGGAGCACCCTGCTGTCCATAGGCGTGTGGGCAGCCGGCCTGAAAGGCTGCCCAGTGTGTGCGAGCCTGGCGCAGCCCCCTCTCCCGGGGCGCAGGGACAGCGGTGGCATTGTCACAGGGCCGCCCTGCCAGGCAGCGTGTGGCGTCGGCTGCTCCAGGGAGGAGCAGGACTGTGCTCGGTGCTGAGATCCGGAATAGCTTCAGGAGTGGGGTAGCTCAGAGCCACCACTTCCCAGCCCCCATGGGCTCTCTCTTCCCCTTTGTTCCTTCTGTCCTCCATCCTGCATCCCTCCTCCCGCTTCCCCTGGTGCCGGCTGTCCCGCCCCTCCGGCTTTGTTACTCAGCTGCAGCGGATCCAGCTCTTCCCCGAGCCCCCAGGGAGTGTCCTGACCTTTCTGTCTCTTTTCTCGAGAGTCTGGGAGATCCCTGCTGCTTTTCAGCTGCTCTTTTCCTCCACAATCTCTTGCCTTTGTTTCCACGGGGCTCCCTGCTGCCCTTGGCCACAGGCTCAGAGCATCCTCGGTGTTGGGCTGCTGACATGGTCCTCTCCAGAGCTTTGTAGGGTATTGCTCTGTGAGAGGGTCAGCATCAGAGCTCCCAGCTTTCCCATGGGTTCCCCTGGGTGTTATGGACCCTTTCCTCCTTGCCCCCTCCCAGCTGGCTTCATTGACATTGGTGCGGAGGCGATCACGCAGGTGTGCTTCTAACATCAGCAGAAGGTTCAATGGTTCACGAGCTTGGCTTCTGCCACTGAGGGTTAGGTAGCCTGGGGGTCATCTTCCCAGGGGAGCACTGACTTGCAAGGCATCCCTCACACTGCAGCTCCTTACCCCAGGAGCAGCTGGCTGCCACCCGTGTCCAGGTGAAGGGCAGGTGGGACTTCATGGGCAAGGAGGTGCCTCACTCTTGGGTAAGTCGCTTGTGCCAGTGGCTTCCATTTCCCTGCCTGCGAGCAGCAGTGGGTGGCTTTCCTGCCTCTGAGGTGTTACTAGAGATGATGCAGCAGAGATTTGTTGGTGCAAAGTGTTTGATCTCCTTACCTACCAGGCGGGTGGGAGCCCTTTGCACCCAGAGGAGGGGATGTCTCAGGCATTGCTGGAGTCTGGGCGCCACTCCTCTGTTAGTATACGGCCTTCCTGAGAAGAAACCTTGGAGGCTTGGCCTGGAACAGAGACATTATTGCATGTCATTTGCAGAGGAGGCTTGGGCTGGATTTTCCGTCTCGTTTGAGGATTATCCCGTGGCTAAGCAGGTCAGAGAGCTCGGCAGCACGTGCTGCAGGGGGAGAGCTGGCACGCAGCGCTTGGCCATGCTCCTGCAGCCTGGTGGGTGGTGTTGGAGGGCAGAGGGACCTCCACATGGTGTGTGCCCGTGGTGGGAGTTACGGAGTGTTGGCGCTGGATACTGAGCCGCCTCTCTGAAAGCAGCAGGGTGTCGCTGCAGTGGTGGAGCTGGCAGGATTGCAGGTGTCCGGGTGCGATTGCTCAGTGTCCAGCCCACCCCTTCCTGGTCTTGGCACCTGGTGCTGAATCCCTGCAGAGGAGTTGCGCTAGAAGAGTTTTCCAAGAGCTTCATTAGAAACAGGTTTTTAATATGTTGGGTTTTTTCATCAGGACGTTGCTTGGGTTTTAGATTAGGAAGGATGAGATTGTCCCGTGTATCTCCCTTCTGCAGGTTGTCCCCTGCACCATGGTGTGGTTTGGGGCGGGTTGTGGGAAGAGCAGAGGTGGTGCTGGCCCCATGGAGGGAGCTGTGGATGCTGCAGTTCACTGGGCTTTGAGAAGGGACCGGACAAACACAGAAGAAAAATTTGCTCAGCTGCTAAATACCAAGATAGCAAATCCTGCTCAGGAAGGCTAACTTAAATCGCTGGAGGAAATACATGGGGAACTGTCACCGTATGGCTGCCACGTTCATACACCCTTTCACGGGCATTCCCAGTCTTTAGCTGCTGGAGACAGGCTGCTCAGCTGGGCGGCCAGGGGCTCACCTGGGCCAGGATGGTCTGGTCCTCTCCTGCCTGGTGCTGGGGTGCCAGGAAGCAGCGGCTGGCGTGGGATGAGTTGCAACGTGGAAGCAAATCCAGGTGCTTCTCTCTGTTGGCTGTACAGGAAGTCCAGAGGACTAGCTCAGCTCTGGGAATCTGCCCTCTGAGTATTTCAAGGTAACCAGCAGAAGCAGGATCCTTCTCATAAACTGAAGTCGTGAAAATATCTTTAAGGTAATGTGAGCCCAGTGCTGCGGAGGAAGGATGGCTTTGCCCTACACTGGAGCAGTGGAAGGTCCCCTGTGCCACAGCTGCCCCGGTGCCAGCTCCTTGGGCTGACCCTGGCTGCACATCAGTTCCCTGGGAGAAAAGCTGGCGAATTCCCAAATTCTCCATTATCACAGCACTCCCACACTGCCATGGGCATCACTCACAGGGCATCAGAGACTTGAAAATAGTTTACACACAAATACCTGTGATTTCCTCTCGGGGAGAGGGGCAAGGGGGGATGACCCCCAACAGCACACAGAGGAGGTGCCAAGGTGGAGACTCCCTTTTCTCTCTGTCTTCTCCCACTGACCCAGACCTAGAAGCAGCCACCACAGCGTGGCTCTCTCCCTGCGCTGGTGGCACTGATGGCTTTGTTTGCTCTTACATCGGCCATAGTGAGAGCTGCGGGCGGGCTGGGCAGCCCTGCTGCTCTGGGGTGGACGTGTGGCTGTCCTGCTGTCAGCACGCACATCTCTTCCCTGTGGTGGGCACAGGAGAGCGGGCATCACGTGTGCCTCCCGCTCTGAGCATCCTTGGTCCTGCATCTGCGTGCGGTGGGGCAGGCAGGGAGCGTATGGAATAGCTGCAGCTCCGGATAACGTGCCTCGGCGGGCAGGAGAATGGCAGGCTGCTCATCAGCCTCCGGCACAGCCTCTCTCCAGGGGCCCTGGGCTGCGTTTCACCTTGGCTGCCTCCTTCTCGTTGCCTTGGTTACCATCACTTACAGGCAGCGGTGCGGAGGGGAGGCTGATGTGCGTGATGTGATGTGGGAGAGCTGTGCCGTGCAGGGCTGCGGCAGCCCAGGAGGGTGGGAGGCTGAGGGGACGTACCATGAGGCCAGCATCCTCCCTAGGTAGGACTCCCCAGGGGTGGCTGCCTGCTTCATCCCTGCCAGAGAGTGCAATCTAGATGTGCCCATACTGGAGAGTCATGCAGTTTCCCACTGGCAGTTAGAATCATAGAATAGTTTGGGTTGGAAGGGACCTTAAATATGATCCAGTTCCAATCCCCCTGCCATGGACAGGGACACCCTCCACTAGCCCACGTTGCCCAAAGCCCCATCCAACCTGGCCTTGAACACTTCCAGGGATGGGGCATCCACAGCTTCTCTGGGCAACCTGTGCCAGTGCCTCACCACTCTCACAGTAAAGAATTTCTTTCTAACATCTAATCTAAATCCACCCTCTTTTAGTTTAAACCCATTACCCCTTGTCCCATCACTACACTCCCTGATAAACAGTCCCTCTCCAGTTCTGGCTGCCCTCATGCAGAGCTGAGAAGCATGGGCTGCAAGCATGGCGAAAAGAGCCCACAGGTCTGCCCTCGCCACCCTTCTCCCACTCCCCATCCCCACCGACGCTGCAACACGTGGGCACAGGTCGCTCGGAGCTGGTCATGGCAGTGACAATTTAGTGCTGGTCGGGGGGTGCTGGCAGCCCTGCCGAGATGCCCACAGTGTGGTGCAGTTGGGGGGTTTGCCCAGAGCTGATGGCTGCTGGTTCAGCCCTTCTCTTCACTTGCAGAGGCTCTGCTGCAGGACTACTTGTGACTTCAGCCTTTATCCAATGCCACAGGCTGGGAGGAGAGTCCCTGGAAGTAGTAAAGGCTCCTGGATGTAAAACCATCCTTCCAGGAGGGAAAGCGGGGCAGGAGCCCGGGGACAGCATCAGAAGGGATGGATGCCACGGCAGCCGGTGCCGGCACTGATTCAGGCTGTGCTTGCAGGTATGTGAACACCCTCCTGAAGCTCATCCCCCCTGTGCTGGGGCTCCAAGAGCAGCTGCGCCAGGCGGTACAGAGCGGGGACATGGAGACGTCGCATGGGATCTGCCGCATCGCTGTGGCCTTGGGGGAGAACCACTCCCGGTGAGTGCTGGGGACGGTCCCCAGGAGAGGGAATGAGCTTGGAGCAGCCCACTGTTCCCCACGTGCTGCTTCGTCCAGGGCCTGTCCTGCACCTGGTGATACGTGTTGGGGCAGAGAAGCCAGCGGTGGTGTCACCCTGACCCTGCTCTCTGCTCCCCAGGGCCCTCCTGGACCAGGTGGAGCACTGGCAGAGCTTCCTGGCTCTGGTCAACATGATCATGTTCTGCACCGGCATCCCTGGGCACTACCCTGTCAACGAAACCACCAGCTCCTTGACGCTCACCTTCTGGTACACGCTGCAGGTCAGTGGCCATCATGGGGCAGCCTGCCTGGATTCCGTGCTCCAGGCAGGGCTGGAGCTGCCGGTGCACAGGGACTGGGGTCTGGTCTGGCTGCGTTTGGTCCCCAGGGATTTCTGGTGCCCCTGCTCCTCACCCTGTACTCGCAGCTGCTGCAGGGCACATACCTTAGAAATGCTGGCCCCATGGCTTGCTTTTTCCACCCCCAGTCTTCCTTGGTAGTCTGAGCCAGCCTTTAAGGGCCTTGTTAACATAACTAATTAAAACTTCGTGCAATTTTTTGGTTTTTTGCAGCAGCAGACCTGGTTGGTTAGCTCCTTGCTGCGTGGCTGCAGGCAGGGAGGAGAGCACGTGGTGGCTTAGACCCTGGTGCCAGGCTGGCAGTCATGGTCTCTTGGAGGGGGAAAGGGAGGGCTGGGGGCTGCTAGTGGCTGCCCGGCATGGGGTCCCTCTCCCAGGGCCAGCGTTCCCTGTGCCAACAGAGCAGCCCTGCCACGTCACGCTCTATTTTTAGCCCCCATTCATCCCCCCAGCTCCGTTCTCCGCAATCTGATGCGGCATGGCTGAGCATGGGCATGGAGGGGGCCAATGTCGGCGCCGTACTGGCAGCCCCTCTGATCCGTGGGGCTCCCTGAGGCTCCCACCTCCTCTCGCTGCTTCTCTGGGTGGGTCTGAGGATACAGGTGCAGGCAGGAGAGCGCTGTGCTCCCCAGGCACCCGGCCCAGCCTGCCTCGTGGCGGTCCGAGGCATACGTGCTCCTGATGCAGGCACGCTCGTGAGGCTAGGACACGGCAGGGCATTGCCACCCCACTGTAACCCTGCTGTCCTCAAATGCCCGAGGGTCTGCCTGGCTGCTGGGGCTTCTGTCATCTTGGCTCTAGTTAACGCTGCTGCTGCAGAAGGGCTCGGCATCAGGCAGAGCTGGAAATGCACCCTCTGGGGTGTGACAGGTCCCACCAGCCCTGGGAGATGCCCCTCAGCCCCTCGTGCAGCAGGCGTGTTGGCTCCGTTTTCTTTCCTCTGACGTATTCCTCCTCCTGCCACCAGGACGACATCCTCTCCTTCGAGCCAGACAAGCAGGCAGTGTACCAGCAGGTCTACAGGCCCGTCTACTTCCAGCTGGTGGATGTGCTGCTGCACAAAGCCCAGTTCCCCTCTGATGAGGAGTATGGCTTCTGGTCTTCAGATGAGAAGGAGCAGTTTCGGATATACAGGTACAGCTGGGGCATGCCTTTCCCTGGGTAGCAGGAGCGGAGCACATTGGATGTGACTTTAGGCTTGGAGCTGGGTTTGCTTGTCAGGCAGGCGAGGACGCAGGCAACATCTTGCCTCCCTGGAGCCTGAGCACTGTGGGGACACCTAAGGAGGAACATGGAGGAGATTCCTTCCACCAAGAGTTGTTTTGGTCATAGTGGTGATATGGAAACAAGCTGATGTTTTGGGGTGGCACCAGCTGCCCTGCCTAGGAAGCCCTGGGATTAGTCTGCGTTGGGCTGGGGCAGTGTCCTTGTGCAGGCAGTGCCTGCACCCTGCCTGGCAGCGGGAGGGGAAGTATGCGCCTGTGCGTGGAGAGCTCTGCAGGGGATGGGGACAGCGTTTGGAGACCCTCTTTGTTCTCTGCAGGGTGGACATCTCTGACACACTGATGTACGTGTACGAGATGCTGGGCGCTGAGCTCCTGAGCAGCCTCTATGACAAACTGGGACGTCTCCTGACCAACACAGAGCAGCCATCCACGTGGCAGGTGAGCGAGGGGACCCAGGTGACAGGTCGTCTTCTGCCTCTCTGTCCTTAGCGCTGCTCAGGGACCAGCCTCCTTGGCCGCTGCAGAGGCGAGGGACTGGGGTGGGCATCGGGGTCAGCACACGGCTCTGATGGTGCTTCTCCCACCCTGGCAGCATACAGAGGCCTTGCTCTACGGCTTCCAGTCCATTGCCGAGACCATCGATGTGAACTACTCCGACGTGGTGCCAGGACTGATTGGCCTCATTCCCCGGATCAGCATCAGCAACGTGCAACTCGCTGACACCGTCATGTTCACTATTGGTGAGGCTTTTGCGCGCAGGCAGGCTGGGCTGGGGAGGGGGACCCCCTCTGAGCCTGCTCCTGCCCAGCAATAGCGGCCGTGAAAAACAAAGCTGAGCAGCTTGGGACGTGGGGAGCAAGAACCCGCGGCGCAGTCCTGCGGTCTGATCCCGTCTGTGTGTGCAGGGGCTCTGTCGGAGTGGCTGGCTGATCACCCTGTCATGATTAACAACGTGCTGCCACTGGTGCTCCAAGCCTTGGGCAACCCTGAGCTCTCCATCTCCAGCGTCTCCACCCTGAAGAAGATCTGCCGTGAGTGCAAGTACGACCTGCCGCCATATGCCGCCAACATCGTCGCCGTGTCGCAGGTATGAGCTGGATGCAGACGGACACGTGGCAGTGATCTGGGATGTGCTCTGTGCACACCCTTTCCTCCGCATGGATCAGGGCAGAGGGACGCAAAGCAGCAGCTCAGGGCATCTTACTTGGCCTGGGGGACTTCTTGTCTGTTGTGTTTCTAGGCCAGTAGACCCAGGTGGCAGGCTCTCTGTCCTGCTGGGAGTGCAGAAGTGGCAGGCAGTGGCAGACATGACTGCCAGCGGGTCTGCTGGGTTTGCACTTGGAAATCCATCCTTTCCCTGGGGTTTTGTTTGCCTTGTTCAGAGCAGCATCGTGCCAGCTCTGCACCTTCCAGGCAGCAGGTGCTGCTGCTGAGCATCTTGGGGAGCGTCCTGGTGTCGAAGCCTCCCTGTGGAGACCGAGCTGGTCCCTGCAGTGCTGGGGCAGATTGTCCCATGGTCTTTCTTTGCTCTCAAGATTTGGGGCAGATGGGAGTCGGAGTCCCGAGGCACTAGGAGGAGGGCTGGGCGTAGGGGAGCTGCCAGGGTGCACACTGGGAGCAGAGAGGGGCTGGCGGAGGGGATGAGTCTCTGCTCTTGGAGTCTGGGGGAAACCGTCACTGGGGTAAGGAGGACCTGGCTGAGGTTGGCTCCTCGAGCCATCCTGCTGCAGAGCTCATCTGAGCCAGGGGCTCCCCTCGCTGAGTGGCTGAGGGGGCTGGCTGGGGGAAGAGCTTACCAGGGGACAAGGATTTTGCTCTGTGACTGTGGTGGGTTGTGGGGAGTGCATGCTGCTTGTCTGTACCCATGCTGGTTTTGGTTGTCTTGACTTCCTGTGTCAGTCCTGCCTCCTGGAAGGGAAGGGGCTTTCTGCAGCACTCACCCTCCTCTTTATCTCTCCCCTTCCCTTCGGCAGGAGGTGTTGATGAAGCAGATTCACAAGGTAAGAGGAGCTGGCTCATACCTCTGGCTGGTTCTGCTTGCCCCCTCCCCACCCCCATACACCTTAGTCGCACCTAGCTGAAGACACAAGCGGTGCCATTGCAAGTTGGGGTGTCCCCAGAGGAGAGCTCAGCACTGCAGCCAGCTTGTGCAGGGCCAGTAGAACCTGCTGGCTGCCTCTCGCTGTGCTGCCGGGCTCATGTAGGCTGGGGTCATGCTGGGGGAGTGTGTCCCCGTAGAGAGGGAGGCCCCTAAGGAGACTTAACTCTGGCAGTTCCCAGTCCCTCCAAGCCCAAGGATGCCGAGATGGCAGGCATGTCGTCAAGAGGGAAAAGAAGGGAGATAAGTGTGGGCACAGAGCCCAGGCTGTGCCTGCGACCGGGATGGGGTGGGACACCCGACCCCACAGGGGCTGAGACAGGCTGTGCAAAGGATGGTGTGCTGAGGTAGGGTGAGTGGTGCCAGCATGGAGATCTCTGGGCACCAGCTGGTCTTTCCTTGGCAGGTTGCTGGGAAGAGGGCAGGTGCTGGTGGCAGAGCGCCTGTTCCCTGGGTTCTGCCATGCTGGCAGGGAGCTGCTCCACTCTCCTGCAGTGAGATGCACGTAGGGTGACCCAGATAGAGCAGCTCTGGAGCTGCAGCACACCAGGGTCCTGGCTTTGCTGCTTGGGCCCCTGGCACTTGTCTCAGCTAGTATGTGTGCAGTAGGGCTGCAGGCTGGGCAGTGACCTGTCCCGTTGTGTCTCCTCTTTGTCCCAGACAAGCCAGTGCATGTGGCTGATGCAGGCTCTAGGTTTCCTGCTCTCTGCACTGCAAGTGGAGGAGATCCTGAAGAACCTGCACTCCCTGATCACCCCCTACATCCAGCAGCTGGAAAAGCTGGCTGACGAAACGGTGAGTGCCCTCGTGCTAGCTCCATCCAGAAGTGGCTTCTCCCGCTGGCTGTAGCCCTGGGGCTGCTGTGTTGAAGCAGCACTCTTGATTGTGGGCTTGAGAGAGCGCAGTGCAGGGAACCCCTCTCTGGCTCTTTGCCTCTGCAGTCCTGGTTCCTCAGGATCCCAAAGGCGTGACTGCGATTGAGCAGCGCTGTCCGTGTCATGCTTTGACCTTGTTTTCCCTCGCAGCCCAATCCCTCCAACAAGCTGGCCATCATCCACATCCTGGGCCTGCTCTCCAACCTCTTCACCACCCTAGACATCAGCCACCACGATGATGACCACGAAAGCACTGAGGTCAAGAAAATGCCAGTGCAGCAAGGACCCAACCCAGTGAGTAGAATGTTGGCTCGATGCTCTTTGCCACAGCCTGGCCAAACCCTTGCTCTTCACTGCTGGTGCTAGAAGGAGAAAGGGGTTAATGGGGAATGCAGTGTGTACCATGAAGAGGGTAGTGCTAGTGCATTCCAGCTAAAACAACTCCTTCAGCTCATCCCACTGCTTCTGAGGTGGGCAGAGGTGACCTGCAGGATCCCTCTTGGCTGGGCACTGCTCTGGAGGACAGCCCGGGTGCTGCCTGCTGGCTTTGAGAGCTGCCAGCTGTGGAGGGGGAGGCAGTGGTGCCTGAAGGTTTGACTTCAGGCCATGCTTAGTCTCAAATCTCCCCTCCTCGGTGCTATGGGGGCCGATTCTCTTCAGTCCTTCTCGTTCCTTACAGGTGGTGGTGGTTCTGCAGCAAGTCTTCCAGCTCATACAGAAGGTCCTCAGCAAGTGGCTGAATGATGCCCAGGTGGTGGAGGTAACCAGGATCCTCCTGTGTACTGCCTGCAGCTCTGCCTGTCCTTGCTGACCTGAACTGGGGACAGCAAAGGACGGACACTGGCTGATGCCCTGTCAGAGGGGTGTCTTTCTGGGTTGTCTGGACCCGCGCTGCTTGCAGTCACCATCAGCGTCCAGCCGTTCTTGTCTGTCTTGTGCCCCCATCAGCTCTGCTCCTCTCCAGTTACAGAGGCCCTGCCATCAGCAGGGAGATGGGGTCTACCAAACCTGTGTTCCTTAAGGGGAGAGCTCTGCTCTGATCTGGACCTGTGTCAACTGTTTTTTTTCTCCAGTTTGCTCAGTCCAGTAATGCCCATGTGCAGTGTCCCACCAGCCACTCTTCCCCCTGACCCTCGGGGAGTCTTCCTGCAGCAGTGGGAAGGGTGTTTCCCAGTGTCTGGGAGCATCCTGTGCTGCAGGACGGGCCACTAGGACCAGAGCAGGTCTGAGCCCTCTTCCTGGCTGGTCCCCGTCCCCACTGCGAGTTCTTCCCTCCCTTGGGACCCATCTGTCAAGCGTTGGCCACCCTGGAAGAGGTCTCCTGATGCCCATTGCTCACGCCGTCCTTCTCCCACAGTCTGTCTGTGCCATCTTTGAGAAGTCCGTGAAGACTCTCCTGGATGATTTTGCCCCCATGGTGCCTCAGCTGTGCGAGATGCTGGGGCAGATGTACAGCACCATCCCCCAGGCCTCTGCCATTGACCTCACCCGGCAGGTACGAAGCCGTGCTCGGGGCTGGGGCTGCCGCTCCCCGGGGACACCGGGGGTATGCAGGGCCAGCAGCAGCTTCAGTCGTTCTCTCTGTCTTGCAGCTGGTTCACATCTTTGCTCATGAGCCTGCCCACTTCCCTCCCATCAAGGCCCTCTTCTTGCTCGTTACCTCAGTCACGCTGACCCTCTTCCAGCAAGGTACGTGGGATTAACTCTTCTTCGCGCTGGGGCTGTCAGGCTGTTGCATGCATGGAGTCTGGAGGCGTCTTACCAGGAATGGCTGTTTTCACTCCTAGCTAAGCTAATGGGGCCATCTCTGTTTCTTGGATTCATCCCAACCCCTGGAAGGTGGGTACCTTCCCTGCAGGGCAGCAGAAGCAGGAAATCCCCGGGCGAGACTCTGCTGTGACAGCCCCGCTTCTGCAGCAGGGCTGGGCGCCGCGTGCTGCGAGGGTCGAGCCGGAGCTCCAGTCCTGCTTGGCAGGGAGGCTGTGCTCCCCAGGAGATCCTGGGGCTCCTCCGGGGGCCAATGCTGCTTGTAGTGGCCAGGAATCAAGCCCTCGCGTGAGCAGGAGGGGGTGTGTGTGGACATCTGGGAAACAACCTTTTCAGAGTCACTGCTGGCCACTGAGTCACCGCTGTGATGCTGAGGATGCTGGCATCCTCCCGCAGGGCAGGGGCCCCTCTTCTGCTCGCTGTCCACACTACAAAAAGCGAATGGGGTTAGGACAGGCCCCTCTGCATCATGGCTCCCCTCAGCCTCTGGGTGACTTGGCCCGTGACAGGGACAAATGTACCTTGGAGCTGCTGGCTCTGGTCCTTCAGCACCTCGGTATGCGGTCCCCAAGGGGTCTTGTCCTTTGCTCACAGCTGGGTGCCAGCTAGGGTGATGCCGTCCCCCAGTACAAGGCTGAGAGCTCTTTAGAGAGGTGGGAGAGGCGTGAGGACCCCTGCTTCTACATCATGTCATGGTCCAAGCAAATCCTGCTGTGCTGAGGTGTCACTGGGGTCAGCGGCAAGCAAGCCGGGCTTACCCGGAGACCAGGTCCCTGCTTCTGCCAGCGGCGTGTGGATGTCTACACTGAAACCCTTTGGCTCGGCGCCCGGGGAGGTGGCGATGCCTCCAGGCAGCAGCAGGCATGTCTGCAGGAGAAAAGGGGAGGGGGCAGAGCCCAAGCTGTCCCAGCGCTTGAACACAAGCTTTGCTCAAGCAAGCGGCCGTCCAGCTCGCTGTGTGCCCAGGACTGTGCGCTCCCACCCGCCCCCGTGGGTCCCCTTCGGTGGGCAGCCCGCCCTGAGCAGGGTGAGCCCCTTCCGCTGAGCCCACGGGCGGCAGGAGAGGAGGGGACGCCTGACCCCACAGGGGCCAAGACGTGTCTGTGCAGTCAGATGCCAAGGTAGGGCGAGTGGTGCTGGCATGGAGATCTCTGGGTACTGAGCTGCTCTCTCCCAGGAGGGTGCTGGAGGAGACCCCCAGGAGGGTCCTGGACTCAGGGTCTCAGAGAGCATCTGGGAACGGGGCGGGAGGGTGACTGTGCCAGGCGCTCCTGAGCAGCTGGTGCTGGTGATGAGCATGTGCACGCCTGAGCCAGGCCGGGCCTGTCAAGCGTTTGCTGAGGTGTTGTCGTTCACTTGCAGTTATCTTCCAGGACCAAATGGTGCTCTGAAGACACCCGCTCAGTCCCCACAGTGCAAAAACTCTAATTCTCCTTGTGGAGATGGTGCCCAGCTAGCCCCTGCTCCTCCTCCTCTTCCTCCCCAAGGACACGAAGATCTCCTCCTTGGCTCTGCAGCACCCAGGTGCTAGCTGGAGACCCTGGGGCTTCAGACCCTTTCCTTTGCAGTTTCTTTCTGTTCTTGGGTTCTCCAAGTTTCATGATTTTTTGTATGTTTTGTTTCTTTAACTTGCTTCAAGCTGCTCATGTTGCCCATCCCCTTCCCCACACACCCCTCCTCCCTTACACTCCTGTTTTCACTTGTAAATTCTTTCTGTATCACATAACTATATGATGTTGAGTTGCTGTTTGTATGATTTTTCTCTTAAGTTACATCTTTATTATATTTTAGGGCCCAGGGATCATCCTGATATTGTTGATTCATTTATGCAACTCCTGGCACAGGTGTGTTTTAGTTTCTTATTCATTCACTTTCTGTTCTCTCTCTTTCTCTTTTTAATTCAATTTAAACCTATTTTTAGCTTTCTGTTGACAACGTTTTTTTCCTTTTAGTTGAATATCGAGTTTCTCCATCTGTTTCCGTGGAAGTTGAAAACAAAACATTCTCCTTTAGTTCTGGGTTCGCACCATCCCCAGGGCAGTGCCCTCCTCTGCAGGGGCAGCCTCCAGCTGCCACCCCCTCGCCTTGCCGAAGCTGGCGCGGGGTGCTTGGGGCTGCTGCCGCAGTCGCCCTCGGGTGACAGACAAATCAGAGCATTAAGTGGATGTTTTCCGACCCGTTCACCTGCCCTGCAATGGGTCTTCCTGAGCACAGACGGGCTGAGCTGGCTGCCTTGCCCCAGGGCCGGTGGGAGGAAGCCCCTGCCCGCGGTTGCAGGCAGCTGCCGGGGTTTGGCTCTGAGCAACGTGCTTGCGATGGCGTCTGGACCTGCCAGGGTGCCACGCTGCCTCCCGCCCCGGC